TCATGCTAATTAAATTACAATTAAACTTTATTAAATTTCTGATTAAATGTTTCTTTATGAAATAGCACCTGTACAACAAATTCAGCAAAGGGTACAGATTTTAAGAGGACCAGATGGAAAATTACAAGTTCGAGGTTTGATGCCTGGTCAGCAACTAGTACAGATGCCTGATGGAAAACTTCATGTATTAAACACTGGTCAGGCCATTACTACTCTTACACAAACTGGAGGAACAAGTACAACTACACAGGTAAAATTATTAGTGAAGCATGGATTACTAAGATATAACAATACATAAGAATAAAAAAATTATTTACTAATTTATAAAATTCTTTTTTCAAGACGAAAACAGGTACAACAACAACCACATCTAAACTAGCTGCAACAGCTAACGCTACGACTAAGGCTAGTCCAGCCAAAACAACAACAAATACAACGCAACAAGTACAAGCGGCTCAGCAATCGCAAACTCAATCTCAACAAGCAGTCCAACGTGCAACATCAACCACCGTAACTATTGCTACTGCTACACCAACTCAAGCAACGAAAAATGCTATTGTGGTAGCTAATACTGGACAAATTGTACAGGGTGCACAAGTATGTGTAGATAGTTGTTTCTATAAAATACGAGATATAATTATATTCAGTATTTATGAAATATACACAATATCAATAAATTATTAATGTTATAGGTCATATCTTCTGGTGGTCAAGTAATTAGCGGAAATCAAATAGTAGTTACTAATGCTAATCTAGCTCAACAGCTTGCAACAGGCAAGGCTCAATTAACAACAATTGGAGGCCATCAAGTGGTTATCCGTAGTACCCCTACAGGCAATCAAATTGTGCATTTAAATTCGACGAATAGTGGTATTATAGTGAAAAATGCTGTAACACCAACCAAACAAGGTTTGTTAAAATTTTACATCTTAAAAATAATACTTAGACGAAAGACTTTTAAAGGAGTACGACTTAGATAAAATGAATTCTTTTATATTTCAGTTCCTGTATTACAATCTACACAAGCAACAACAACAGGAGCACAATCAACTGATACTACGAGCAATAGTGTTAGTACTAATGCGTCAACGAATGTGACATCAACTACTACTACAACCACAACAAATCAGACCACCAATGCTCCAGCACCGGGAAGCGTAGAAGCATCCTTACTAGCTGGTCAACCACCTGGAACTGTCATTAAATGTGTTACTGCTCAAGTTATACAAACTACTCAAGGTCCTCGTATAGTTCTACAAGGTTTGCAAGGTGCAGATTTTACTCCACAGCAACTTGCAATGGTACAACAACAGGTTAAACAACAACTACTTAAAGGTGCGACAGTAATTATGATGTTACATGCATATCTGAAAGTTATTAGTATACTCATAATATATGTATTTTGTAGCACAAGCTACAACGGGAAAGCAAGGAGTTCTAGGGCCTACTAAAATTTATTTGGCTGTTCAACCTGCACCTAGCAGTCAACAATCGATTCAGAGTTCTCAGAGTTCTACAACGGCGAATACTCCTACTACACCAGCACCAAAACTACAAACTACACAACAACCAGTTGTTTCACCTCCAGCAGCAACTGGTTTGTATTCATCTAATTTTATATTTCTTTGTATTCTTTATTGAATTAAAATCTTAATATTATTTTAATTTTAACAGAACCTCAAACAGGAACAGAAAGCATTCCAGAGCTTCCATCAACAGCGACATCAAGTTCTCCTGAAAAACCAAAAGTAGTTGTCCAGCAAGTTGCACAGCCTAATGTGACTACAGAAGAGGAATCGCAAAAAACAAATGTAGCTAATGGTCAGCAACCTTTGCAATCTTTAAAAGATGGAAACGATTCTTCGGCTAACAAATTTATTCTAACGCCTGATTACATACAACAAAGTTAGTTGTAATTAATATTATCTTCATTGTTTGCTATTAATTTCGTTCAAGATACTCGAAAATTTTTGTTTTTACTTTATTTATTCTAACAATTATCGTCAAAATCTTCAGCTATCAAGAATGCATTGAAACAAGAAAATCTTAATCCGGAAATAGAAGAAAAGCTGCTGCAGTTGCAACGATATCAGGAGAAGCAAATGAAAGGTGGTGTTGAAAATTCAGTGACCAGTAATCAGACTCATACTACACCTACAATTACGACTCCCCGTGTTCCATCTCGTAAAAGACCAGCACCTTCTAACATTCCAACAACGCCCTCATCCACGAGTGTTCAATCAACAACAAATGATAAAGATTCAGATTGGGCAGAAACACCTAGAAAAAAACCCGCACTAAAACAAGAAAGTCGTGAAACTCCAAAGTAAGTTTCACTATTAAGTACAGTCATTTTTTACTACATCGATGATTTTCTTTAATATTATGTGTTTTATATAGAGTACAAAAAATTGAACTGGCAGAGAATGAATCGACACCCCAAAAACGAGCAGCGAAGCTGAAAGACAGTCAAGAGCAACGGAGAAAGCAACAAGTGCATTCTCGAATGCAAGTTTTGTTATTTAGACATAAAGAACTACTTAAAAAGGATATTCTTAAGAAAAGAGCATTGCTTGAAAAAGAATTGCAAATAGATATTCAGGTATGCAGTATAAAATGCCTTCAATAAGGAAATATAAAATATAATAAAATTCTTATAAACAAATTTACAGAGATTAATTTTTTACTATTTTTCTCTTTATTTATAGAAAGATTTATCCGCGGAATTAGCTTCAAGGACAAAGGCAGAAAGACACAAACAAGATGAAGTGAAAGTGGGAAGTGCGAAGCGTAAAGCAAACGCTCAAGTGGCTCAACAAGTTAGTCCTCCCAATAGAGGTGGAAGGCCAAAGAAATATAAAGCACAAGGAAATAATACCACACCACCAGGTGCTTCAACTACAGCTACTGCGAATAGAATTAAAAAGGAGAAGTTATATTGTCTATGTAGAACGCCATATGATGAAACAAAGTAAGTATCGAAGAAAAGATTTTCTTTTACGTTATTTACTTAATGATCATAAAGTATTCTTTCGTATTAGGTTTTATGTAGGATGTGATCTTTGTAACAATTGGTTCCACGGAGATTGCGTTGGAATTACAGAAGAAATGTGTAAAACTCTTTCAGAATTCGTTTGTACAGAATGTAGGCATGCAAGAGATACACAAGAGCTATATTGTCTATGTAAACAGCCTTATGACGAATCTCAGTATGTAATAATATTAATTATTTATTTTTTTTATTTTATTATTTGTAATAAA